TTATATTAAAATAAGGCATGTGTTTAACCAAGTTAGGAGAGACATAGAAGCACAGGCATAAAGTTTTCACTTAATTGAACTGAATTAATAGAATCTTGAATGTTGTTAGGTGAATCATAAAAAGCACAAGCAGCTAGAAATGTATTGTGAACTGATATATTTAAAGAATGCATGCCACTAATAGATAAACAAGAAGACTGTGTGTACAGTCTCTGTTGATGTTTGTTGACTTTTCTTAGTAAGAAAAAGTGACTGAGACCCATCCTTAGTTCTGGAAAATTAATTAGACGTTGCAAGAACCTGTTGAATTCAACCACAGCAGCCTACTGCTGGTATACAAAGAAAGAATTTAGATGGTCCATAGATGAAGGCATGATCAGAACACTAAGCAGAAAGACCATAAAGAGATTTGAGCGTATGTATTTGATATAAATGTTATAGTTTTTTGGAGACATCTAGATCAATATATGCCACACTTATTGGCAAGTGAATGCCAGGTATTCAAGTGAATACTGAACAGAATTTTCTATTTATTATCTTTGATGTATTATGACAGACTAGCTAGAGTGTGTTTTTATCAAGTTCTTTATACTTGGTCCAACAAAATTGATATAATTTCTTTCAAAATAAACAGACAAAAGACTTGCCTTTTCTATTGTGTCCTCTGAAGGAAGAACCATGAAAAGATCCTTTTTGAAGAAACCTATTCACAGTGGATCTGTTTTCATTTACAGTGCTATTTACGTGGATTAAGTGTATGTTCTTGATTATCTCATGCCAGAATTCTAGAGGTTTTAGCTTTTGCTTATTTCATTTTTTTCTTCCTGAAACTGTACCTGTGGTAGCTTTGGACCTGTTATCACCATTTTTGTTTACTTTATAAGAAGCTAGTATATTTTTAGCAAATGTATCATTATGCTAATACTTGAGTGGAAAAAAAATAAGGTACTGTAGAGAATTTCAGCTATGTAGAATCACAGTTCAAATCAACTGTGTAGAACTGCACAAATTTTTCGTATTTGGTCACTGTAATTAATATTGGGAATGATAAGGACATATGAGAGAGAATGGATTATTTTGGCATTATTGGTTGATAGAATATGGCTCCTGATAAGCTTTTGATTCTCTGTAAAAGATTCTTTTTGCAGCATGACTGTCATGTCATATGGATTCCCATTGGTGTATTAAAACAGTTTAATCTGTGATACGTGATACTAATGACAACTATAAATTAACAGAAGCCTTAGCCTTAGTCCTCCTGAACACTTAACAGTACTAAGAATGTCTAAATTGCTGAATTGTGGTTTTCAATATTTTGAGGGAATTTCTTTGGTTTTCAAGAATGAAAAAAAAAAAAAGAAAAAAGGAAATTATAGTAATTTAGGTGAATACTGTATTACTTCTTATTACTGAAGTTTTTCATTAACAAAAGCTGAATGCCAAGGTTAGACATTTCTGTTGTCCCAAAATTATTAGTACAAGATTTTACTACCAGCCAACTCTAGCGGAAAGCAAACGATATCCAGTTTGTGGAAATAAATGTATGGTACATGAGAATGGAATGGTTATTGGGACAAACAGAGGAAGTTATAAATCTTCAAATCATATACAGGACAGATTGGAACAATAGAAGGTCTCCAAGTTTTCTTAAATAATGTATCTAATAACTCTCTCTGGGCAAGTAGGAAATCTGTTTTCAATTTCTTCTACTTCTGAGCAAAAATACAATTTATCTTAAAAGGAGATTTTTTTTTTTGTGGCAGTTTTCAACCAAAAATTAATGCAAGTATCTAATCAGAAAATATTATTTGAAAATCAGCAGGTTTTTTTGTTGCAATCACTGCTCAGGACACTGTCTTGCACTTATAAGAACAGCAAAGAAGAGAATAATAGATCATGTGCAGCCCCAAATCAGAGTGCTGAAATGAAACCATGGTGCAGATGTCTTCTGACACTTCCGAAAGAGTCCGTCCTGATGCTCAAATGCAAGAGTATTTGACAGCCAAATGTTTTATTTTCACTCGTGCAGATTGCTGTGAAACTGTACTGAATGAGACTCATAATAGGATTGAATTATTGTACCAATTGCATCTGCTTTTAGCTGGAGGTTTTTGGAGCAGATAACCTCTGGAGGTCTTTTCCAACCTCAATTATCTTGTAATCTTATGATCCTATGAAAATTTATTTTGCACTAAAGTAATTAGGCTTGCACACTCTTATCTGTCTCAGTTTTTCTCTCCAGTTTACCCATATTTTAAAAATGTGAACTTTAATTAATGATAGAAAAGCACCCATATGAAGTGAAATCTCCCAGGAAGGAAGTAAATTTTCTGCACAGGAATGTAGCAGTGTAGCACAAGATCATTCAGAAAGAGACCTTGCTAAAGCTAACAGCACAGGATCTGTACAAATCAGGGGTCTACAAGAATAAATTATTTCTGTTATTAAAAGTAATGCATCAGCTATGCAAATGGAAAGTTCAATTTATTGATTAGTAATAGATGGAAACATTTGAAGAAAATAATACCCATAGTTTAAAATTAGTCATCTTAGAAAACATATACAGACAGTATGAGGAATACAAATTAATATTTTTAGCTGTTATTTATTGTTTTCTTGGGCCTTTGCAGTTTTTGATGGTAGATGAGTTTACACTCAGGAAAGTTGGTGAATACCACTAGACAGCTAGAACTTCCCAGTATGTTAATATAGCATAGTATATCAAACATAGTCCATTCACAATTTAGGTGCAGTAAACTACTCGGGTTCTAAACTTCTCTTCAGAATCTGAACTTCCTTGAGGCTTTCCATTGATATATTGGATGGAGATTCACCCATTTTGTGGGGAGTGAATCTTAGTGCCTGAAATCATATTTTACCATTCTGTCTTGAAGGTGTTATCCTGATGTAACTATGTGTTCAGTAACACATGCACAGACAGTGCTGGCAGCTCAGGCAATGGACTACTAGGGAAACTGAGGAAGAGTGCTTCTGAAGTGGGGAGTATAGGCATGGTTTTATCCTGTACAGAGGCAGCTGCAAACTCTGACAAGCTGCAGAAATCCCAGAGGAAGCCTCTTAAGAACCCCTTGCACTAAAAAAGGATGAGCTCGTGTATGTTGTTTTCTGATTTTATGCTTACCGCCTCATGAAACAGGAAAGCTTTAACTCGGTATTTTTGTGTTTTAAAGTGTTTACAGTCCAAGAACTCAGTGCTCTGTGCACTTACTGCGCCAAAAGCTTTGGGTAAAATTGAGCAAAATCTTACTGGAGCCAAATCAGACACTCTGGATAGCTAGTTTAGCAATAAAAGCTCATAGTATTGAGTCCTATGTTAAATACAAAATAGCATGATCAGACTCTCATATAAACATATATTATTTGCCTGTTAAAAAGAGTGAACCCATAGAAGTTTTTTACTGCTGCTGTTTCTAAGATTACATCTGGGTCGTGGTGATGTCACTTAAGAACTCATGCAGAAGAAGTGTTTGAATTTATCATGTTTCAAAATTAACCTTTAAAACTCTGTGCTACACTGTTATAAATGTAGTAGTAACAGAGAAATACCATAAAGTCATCTGGACTGTTGTAATAGTTTGTGTTCTGCTTTTCTAGTCACCATCTGAACCACTGCAAAAGTAACAGTACATGATGGTGATATTATTCTCTGCATGATGCGTATTACTGATTTATTCTTTGTTCTGCATAATTAGCCCTTTTCCAATGAGTTCTATGCACGTTTCACACACATGTCGTCAAGCATCAAATTGTGAAGCAAGAACAGACTCTTATTATAGCCCATTACATAAGTAATCATTGCTGACGCCTATTATTTGTTGTTTCCAGACAAAGAGGTTTCTGCGTTACTGAGTTTTCCACAGAACAGTTACGAAGTAGGTGAGACGTGGATGGTCTACGTCTTGCCCTTCACATTTGGCAGTTCAAGCGCCAAATAAGTTTGTGAAATTGTGTGTTTGTAGTGTTTGTGCATAGACTATATGATTGTAATGAAACTGACTTTCTGTTAGTTCAGGAGTTGTATCTATACTGCCTTGACCCTCTTCCTGACTTCTGTGAGCAGTGTGGTTATTGGAAGTGTTAGCAACAGGCATATCAAAGTCACCGTGTTTTAAAGCCATGACAGTAATGGGAGCTAGGGTTGATTTTATTCCATTCAAGAAATTGTGAGACAGTGTAGGATATTCTAATCACAAATTTTTGGACTTTGCGTTACAAAAGTAAAAGAGCAAAGATCCCTTAAGTCAGGAAGAGTGCAATTTCCTAGGCCTTTTCTTCAGCCTCTCAGAATTTAAGATGTAGAATTCCAGAATGTGTGTGTAGGTATATAATGTTCTTCGATCTTACGTGGTCAGATTCATTTCATAATGGAAACGTGGAGCAGTAGAAACTTTTGTGACATCACAGTCTGTGCAAATCTAAGCAATCTATTACAATGGTGCAATAGACAACGATTTCTTATTGTAAAGTACTCTTCTTGTAGAGAGTGGCCTATAGTTGGCAAGTTTTGCACTGCCTGCAGTTGGTATTAGTGTCTGCTTTCAACTGTGGAAAAATATTGAATCATTTTACGGATATTTGCTGTCTCATTATGTCATAAACCAAAAATTTCAATAGTAAATCTTGGTAGAGGAGGTAAAGATGTGGAGAAAGATATGCAAAATAAAGAAATATTACTTTGAAAGGGACTGGTTAATACAGTGTATAAACATATATATAAATTATGCCATTTATTGTTAAATGTGTAATACAACTTGGCCAAGTAATTTGTTGATAGTAGTCTTTGCAGGTGAGAGTGTATATGTATTTGCAATTGCAAGTTGCCTATTGGAACGGATGTTTTCCTTCTCTGACTACGATCTAGAGAATCACCAAGAAGAGACTAATACTCTTTCTTTGGCCAATAAATTATGTTTTCCTTCTCTGCTTTCTTGCTTGCTTGTTTTACCTTTGCAAGATTAACTCTGACTTTTCTGTAACAGGCACATAGTTGTCTGTGGTCACATAACACTTGAAAGTGTGTCCAACTTCCTGAAGGACTTCCTGCACAAGGATAGGGATGATGTCAACGTAGAAATCGTCTTTCTGCACAAGTGAGTAATCTTTCAAGATTAGTCTTATTATCTGTTACTAAAACTAATTAATTTAAGCCATATTTTTTTTGCAAAGACAGAAGATCTTTTAGGCTCCAGATAACCATAAAATTAATACTTACAAGTATTTTTGTTAACAATGTGGTTTGAAGAAAAGAGTTGTTTGCTGCAATATTTTTATAACCCATTGCTAAGTATAGGTGTTTCAACCAGACAGACTTCAAACCCAATTGTGTCAAGTGTGAGGTAGATAGCTAAATACATAGTTGAAGTGGGAATGTAATTATGAAATAAAAAATATTGAAATACTAATAAATAAATGTAAAAATTTTCTTTAGTGGCAAATATTTCTCGTGAAACCAGAATAATAGTTAAATCAGTAAAATTGGTGAAAAATACTGTATGTCGTATGAACTTATGCTATCTGAAAACACGTTTTCACCTCTGAAAAAATGCTTATTTCATATTGCAAAATATTTATTAAAAAAATGTAAGTGGACCTGTAGTTTTAATATAAACAGGATACATTACAGATATAGTGAAGACAGAAAATCTTGTCACGGTGATAAGTACTGCTTTTTTAACCCATATATACATACCTACACACCCATAGTCTCTTGCATTTTTCTGATTTGAGATTTGGAAAGGTGTCTTAAGGTGATTGCTGTTTGTTGCAGACTCTGCATTACATGTAATACAACATCAAATAGGCATGCCTATGGCAGAAGCTGTTAGAAATAACCATGTGCTAGAGAGAGAGACAGTGTAAAAAGTCTTTTCTGCTCTAGCATGGCATCTGTTTAGAAGTGTTGTAAGCTATGAATGAGTAATGTTTTTGCATTTAGCAGCAGGTTCTGCACTTTTCTTGTCAGGAAAGTGATTAAAAAGTTAAAGAGTCATTTCTGATGATTTAACAGAGGAACCTGAAAAACTAAGAATCAGCAGCATTTGCACAATCTTTTTATCTAGTCCTTTCACATTGAACTAGGGATGATATTGTCAAGAATCTACATTGTTTGTTTCCTTCTTTCCCCTCTTTAAGTGATAACAAGAAGTGACTGTGAGAGGAAAGGGGAGATCCAGATTTCCACAGTGAAAATGCATAGTGATAGGAATCAGAAAATGCATATGCACAAATGGAGTTTAGCACCTGGCTACTTGTGTGTGCATGCTTTCTTCTGTACCTTCACAGACAAATCTTTGCATGTGTCTGTTTTGTTTGCTTATTAAATTTGGCAGCTGACATGGCAAAGGTCTAATACACTTACTATGTAGCTGTTAAATCCCTTCTGTTTTAATGAGTGGCATCAGAAAAGGCATTTAGAAGGTTGTTGCCACATTATGTAATAGATTGTGATCCATTTAATTTTTTTGTGTATGACAAAATTAAGTGAAGCAGAAAGACACAGCGTAATTATGATTGTTTTAATTGTAGCTCACACAGGCCACAGGGTCCCTATAGGGTTCCTTTTCTGGCTTTCAGTGATTTTGCATTGAGCTCCCCTATTTGGTGCAATCAGCTGTTTTGAGAATGGTGGGGACATGCAGAGGATGATTGTCTTACTAGACCATTTCTGTGGAGAATGCTGTTAGGATGTTTTCAAATGTTTGTGCCACTTCTTCTGGATTGGTGTCTGTGAGAAAACAAATAATGAATGTGCAGCATAGCACAATGAAGTGGGCCAGAAGTGCTGTAAACAGCGGTAAGGAAGTGAAAGCAGTATAGTGTTTGTCTTTTAAATACTGCACCCTGTTTCCACACCGAAGGAAAAGCATCAGCAGAAGTCTGAATACCTGAAATAAATATATGGGTTGGTTTATAAATAAAGGAAATGGGGCAGTTATGGAAACTGACTTCTCATTTGCTTTTGTATTTTCTTCCTCTAACCAATGCAGTATCTCCCCTAACCTTGAGCTGGAAGCTCTTTTTAAACGACACTTCACTCAGGTGGAATTTTATCAGGGTTCAGTCCTTAATCCTCATGACCTAGCAAGAGTGAAGGTAAGAGCTCTGTTCTGTTCTCCTGATGATTGACTTCTTTTAAAGTGCTCATTGCATTATTTGGAAAAAACCAGTAAAGCTCTTCTTCATGTAACCCCAAAGATTGTTTTCCCTCTCTGTTAGCTTGCCTAATAAATTACAGGATCTATCCTTATAAACCTTGTTTTATATCTTTAGATCTTCAAAGCTACAGTAACTGTGACTTAAGATACATTGTCTACTATTCCATTGAACTCTTTATGAATTTTTCATTGGAGTTTAGTTCAAGAGTCTATTTTACATTAATGTTTGATATAATAGAACATTGTCTTACAGTAATTGCTTAAAATGCTTTTGTCTTACCTTCATCAGAACGATTAGAAAACAATTTTTCACCTGTCAAGCCTTTTTTCTTTTGTCTAGTAACTTGGAAAAAAAATACAATTTAAGATTTTTGGTCCCTAAAATGAGGAGATGGTTTTATTGTCTAGAATTCTCTATGGTAAATTATGTTGTATGGTTAAAGCAAAGCATGAAGCTTAAAGGAGAAAAAAAAGATGGCAAGCTGTCAGATACAGAATTTGCTCTTTTAGTGTGGGGGTTTTCTTTTGTTTGCTTGCTTGCTTGTGTTTGTGTTGGGTTTTGTTTGTTTGGTTTTGTTGTTGGTTTGTTGTTTTGGGTTTAGTTTTTGTGTGTTTTGTTTTTTGTTTGTTTGTTTTTTAATGGAACATAAATCAGCTAGTTAATCCAAGAGTATTTTTGTGTCTTTTGTCCATTTTGGCTGCAGGAATTCCTTAACCTTTTGTATTCCAACACACACTGTTCTAGTTCATCAGAACTAAATGTTCTAACTAAGACTATAAAATTGCGTGTTAGTATTTTGAGTTCTGTGTTCCACTGTTCTTTGTGTTGGTATTTGGTTGTATACACCGAAAAATACTTTTGTCATCTGCTTTGAGTAAAATAGAGCTAAGCTTTGTGTGAACATAGAGGTCCTGTGAACAAATGAGTTCTCATGCTTTCTAAAACTTGTGCTCAGATTCTAAATCATCAGTTCAGCTGCCTCTTCCTGTCTAATAGAAAGGTACTTAAATTCCCAAACAAAGCAGCAGGACTTGTGGGAGCACTGTCCTGATGTAACAGGAACTCCCTATGGATTTAGGGGTCTAAATTTCAGTATATAGTTACAAAAGTTGTATCCATTAACACCTTCATGCCTCAGATGATACAAAGTAAGAGTAAATGATTGAACTACTGACCTGGTCTGAGCATCATAAGCAAGTTTCAAGAAGTTGCTATGTGTGGTTTGAGAGCTGTTATAATCACTGACATTAACTCATGTTAGTCTTGTAACATTTTTGATTAGCAGTATTAAGAACTGACATTCACTCTCACGGTGGTAGTATTGGATTCCCTAATACTTTATGGTGAAAGAAGGGCTGGAAAGAGTTTACTATTTATGTTTGCTTTTTCTTTGATGTCTCAGATAGAGTCAGCAGATGCGTGCCTAATCCTTGCCAATAAATACTGCGCTGACCCAGATGCTGAAGATGCCTCCAATATTATGAGGTAAACTCATTAGTTTTTAATAGGTTTTTGGTTCTTAACTCTGATTAGCTAACTTCTGGTGTCCAGATAGGCTGTAGCCACGCACAGCTTTATTGCTGGTCTGTTGCACTTAGAGGACATTGCAGGATTTGTTTTTAGGGGACAAATTACAAGGTCGTCTGAAAAGTTCAGAGATGAGGACGCCCTAAATTCCTGCCTAAACTGAAAGGGTGTGTCAGAAGAGACACTTGGAGCACAAGCTTTGTTACTCTTAGTCGTTTTGCAGGACCTAGGATTTAAATATCCATAGCTGAATGCAGTCCCAATAGAAATTAAGGGAAAGGGGATACAGTTAATGTTGTTGCAGTATGTTACGTGAGTCCATACTGCTTAGGCTGCTGTTAACAATATGACAGAAGGGCCCTTAATCACTTCATACCTCATTGCTCCTTGGTATATCTGCTCCTACAAGTAATTGTGGTACTTGGGGGAAGGCAAGGTATCTATTTCATGATGGTAACAATGCAGTGGTCTCCTAGTTCCATCCCCCTTTTTTACAATGAAGACCAAACATTGCTTATTTTGATTGGCAAGGCGTTTACCACATTAGGGACCACCAGATCTTGTCCTGCTTTGGTCCTTATGTTCTCTGAAAGAAGGAGATTAAAGAGTTGATCAGTAGATGACAGCTAGAGTTACAACAAACCTAAGCCATTCCATTTTTTGTGTTTTGTTCATACAACCCTAGTTTTAATGAGACCAGTCTCTCATTTTTAAAATTGGAATGTAAAATTCTCTAACATAGAACTGGCCAGTGTTAAGAACCAATTTTACTGGCCTGTCAGATGTTTACATGATGTGAATTGAAGCAAGGGGGGAAATAATAATAAAAAAAAATGTTGCTTCTCTGGAAAAAGTTCACTGTGCACAAGAGATCTGGCTGTCTGTAGAAGGGGCAGGGCTTAAATATGCCTAATATCATTTTCCCAACATACTTTTGAACTTCAATGCAAGAAACTTTATTTTGACCTTAAGTGCATAAAGACATTAAAAATATTCCATTTGCAGATTAGTGCATTCTTAACAGGTTTAATATATTTAATGTAATAAAATGAGAAAGTGTTATTTTGAGAGTGGGATTCTCTTGTGTTTTCTCACATGTAAATGAATTTAATTCAACAAAATTGAATATTTAATTAAGTAATTCAGTAAGAAATGGAAGATTAGAAGGAAGAGTTGTTTTTTCCCTCCAAAAGATAACATACATTAAAATCATGGCATACAACTTTCTTTATCTGTTTCGTGCTCTGGCTTTGATATACTTCAAAGCATGAGCCAGACACCAGTTTGCAAGATACTTCCCACAAAACACCAATGTAAACAGTTATGGCATTTGGAGTCTTATGGGACTGATGATTTGTAATAATTCAGATTATTTTGCATTTTGATTGTTTTATCTTCTTTTCTTACCTTTAGTTTGCATATACAGAACTGATTTTTTTGGCCTTTTTTCTCTCTTTGATTTTGCGCAATGCTTTCTTAATTTTTAAGTTGTATCTTCCTCTCTTCATAACATATTATCGATCCACTCATTTCTCTGACATTTTTCTTTCCAGTCATTTTTAACCTGTACACAGCTGAGTATGTTTTAGGCTCATTAAATAATTAATAATACAGGCAAGCTGCAGATAATATTTTATAAGTTCAGTGTTCAGATATCAGTTTCAATCTTGAGATTTGGAATAATCCATAAAAATTATGATGAATTTGCATGTGGGTTTATTTCAAACAAAATCATTATTCAAGGTGTTTAAATATGGTGAATGTCTGGCAACTTTAAATAAATAATCTGTAGTGCAGCAGAAAGAAACAGATTATTTCAAAATTTATCGTTTGAAAACTCAATCGATTATGTTGATTCAAAGACATGAAGATAATCACTGAAGACGACTCGATGATCTTTAAGGTCCTTTCCAACCCTAACCATTCTATGATTTGCTTAGTGGAATGAGCACAGTATCACAACAGAGATGCTAAAATAAGTCTCTTTTTCTGGAAGTTCTCTAAGAGCAAACCATTCAACTGAATAATTCCTGAAGTTTGATGTTCTCTGGTATTAGCTGGTGCTTATTAACTGAATTTGACCAGGTCTAAATATTGCATAGGGCTGACTTCAATCAGTATGCTTTACAGCGAGATGAATAAGGGGGTACAGTTTTAACTGTAGCACCTGACAACTCAATAAAGTAGAGGTATTGGGATATATTATCCAAATATCCCACCAACTAAAAGTTATTTTAATTGTTTTTCTTTTATTTTTTAGAGTTATTTCAATAAAGAATTATCATCCGAAGATAAGAATTATCACTCAGATGTTGCAGTATCACAATAAGGTAATGTGATGACCAACAGTGTCAACCAGAGTTTTTTTGCTACATTGCATTCACTTATACACAATTTTTCTAGCCCCACTAATTGTAAGCATTTTTTTTCTCCAAACAAAAACATCCTAATAAGCCTTGTCATGTAATCCAGTTACAAGGGAATTCAGTTTTTTTCATGTATATGCAAGGGACCTTATAAAAATCCTGACATTTATTAATTGCCTAGGGTCTAATTATCATAGCTACAGTGTCCATAGTTGCTGTTGATTCCAGATGTTCTTTTAACCTCTCAGCTTCTGTAAGTTTTGCTCAGTTTACTACACTAGAGCTACCCAAGATGAATTGGTGGCCTCTCGGCAAGTCATCTGAAGTCAGTTCTTTGTGAATACTTAAAAAAAGCATAGAATTATTATCTTATTAGTGATTTATTGTGATTTTTTGTTTCTTGCATGACAACGTAGACCTGAAATTGCAAGTAGCAGGTACAAAATAAATATAAATACTATTTTCACATAAAATGTAATTCAGTTGTGGAATTTGTTGCTAAAAATACTGTGGAGATCAAAATTATAAATACACTTTGGAAAGAAATTTGGCAAATGTTTGATGTTAAATCTGTGTCCTTTAAACACGGTGAAGTCAGTTTATCTAATCCTGAGATGAGGAAGCTCATATACTGCTGGTTAACAGGGCTAAGAATAATACAGCAGAGGACAGACTACCCATAGGTGACCTGCTGCTTTTATTATTTCTAAAAGCTTCAACCACTGCCCAGTGCTGGAGAAGAAGCTTGGCTGGCTAGACCTTCATTCAATGAAATACAAAAATCCTGGTCCTTAGAAGGTTTGACTGCTAACAGCTCCTTATACCTGTAACATTGGCTACAACAAGAGCTATTACAGTTGTTTGTGGTGTCCTCTTCTGTACATGAATGGAAAGAGCCTATCTTTTTATAGTATAAAGCAAGGTGCTGCTCTGCTTTAAACAGGTTCAGAGCATAAGGTCTTTCAAAAACTGCATTTTTCTTTTGTATTTACGTTGAATGTGTCTTCAATAACTTTTATAAAAGCGCTGAACTGTGGTAGTAACTTATGGAGGGAAACAAGCATGAAGGCCTCTGTGTTTCCTTATGTCTATGCAAATGTACATGGCAGATGGAAGAGAAGATAGAGATACGCCAATAACTGAACAGTATTAATACCTGAAAACTTAATTAAATTAATACCTAAAAACTGACGAGTGTCAATACTGGACCTCTGTCTTGATCAGCTGTTTTCTGTATTCTATCCTTATGAACAGCAGTCTTAGTGAAAATCCAAACTTTTTCCTAAGTCAAGTGCTATCCTTCAGGGTGGAAGGAATGAAATAGAAAAGACAGAAGATGTTGTATACCTTACTAAATGACAATGTCCTGCAGAGGTTGCGTCTTCACATGAGTTGTAATCTAATTTATATTAGATTCCTGTATATTATGTACGTGCCTTATCAGTCAAAGAGTAGCTCGAAGTACTGAGGGAAAGGAAAAATTTACAACATTCTGTGGTTTGTTCAGGTGTGAGGATGGGCCTGCCAGAGTGTCACAGACAGAATATGGCTTGAGAAATGTGAGACTTTTTTCTGTGATAGGTAGTATTGGAACATTTCTTAGCATAGAATTAAACTCTAAAATACTTGGAGTGCTTCTGCCTACTCAGAAAAAGTCAAGACAGTAACAAAGAAAATAATTCACTCCTATCTCCTTCAATACTGTACTGCATTTGAGGAAGTATTTCTGGTTCTTCACCTATGGGGTATTTTGTTTGGTTTTTTGTTTTCCAGGCCCATCTGCTAAATATCCCGAGCTGGAACTGGAAAGAAGGGGATGATGCAATCTGTCTTGCTGAACTCAAGCTGGGTTTCATAGCCCAGAGCTGCCTAGCACCGGGCCTTTCAACAATGTTAGCCAACCTCTTCTCTATGAGGTCATTCATAAAGGTAATGTCTTGTCTCATTAGAATGTATTAGTCTGCAGTTTAGTTTGTCAGACAGTCGAGTAGAGAATGCAACTCAAATATGAAACAGATAGGAACACATTAACAGATTTTGTAAGACAAAAAAAACCCCAAAACAGTGCATGCTTCCATACAAAAGTTCTGGCTGCGAATTGGGCAATGAGCCAGGTTCTGCCAAGATACGGTTTTTCTTTTTGTTCTGCAAGTGTTTGACCTTTAAATGACTTCTCAAAGCATCATCCATTTCTGGGGAGATGTTTCTGGTGTTTTATGTTTTGCTTTGTTTTAGAGAAACCACATATTTTTCTATCAGAAAAGCCCATGCTGCTAAAACAAAAATATGATTTATATGTCCTATATAGCAACAAAGTGCCCAGGAAAAAGGACTGATCATTTTGGTCTTTTACATCAAATGTCTAGTGGACTTTGACTGTGGAGTCATATGTCCACATAAGGAACATGTGTTGGAACTCAAGCCTGAGCTTCCTACAACATCATTTGTGTAGTTGTTTCTACTCAGTCAAAGAGCTCATTTGGATTTACATGGCAAAATTGTAACCCAGTTATTCCTAGACTTCTGTGACAGCTGTACAAGTTCACTGGACCAAGGTCTTGATTACAGCAGTCAGTGCTTCCTTCCTTGTGTCTTTCTGGGACACTGATTGGAAACATCAAGCATGGCCAGTTTCTGGTCCCTTGAGTGTTATTAATGAAATGGGAGACACTATAGGTAGGTCATGGTCCACTTCAAGTCCATTATGCAGGTAAGCAAAAAAAAAAACCAAACAAACAAAAAAACAAACCAAAAACCAGCCTAATGTCCTCAGATGAGAAAGCCAGGACTGTTCTCCTAGAGGTGCAGATGTCAGTGCAGGACAGTGAGTCTTTATTTACTTCTTATGAAGTCCTGAAATTCTTTATTAAGGTATCCTTTGAAGACAGCAAACTCCTGTGTGTCAAAAATATTTGACTATTACATGTAGTCAAAAAAATGCCAGTTTTCAACATGGAAACAAGGCTGGGCTCTGCACATTACTGTCTGCAGTTATGATGTTTGCATCTTTATTCATAGTGTCAGGAAAGAAAAAAATAGCTGGTTTAGTTCAGTAAAGCCAAACTTGGAAATTGTTTATGACTCATCAGCATATGGTCACTTTGACATTAATCCTTTCTACTTATATCCCGAAAGAAAACTAAATCTGTTATGAACTTCTTTCTGCTTGCCAGTCATTTTGGTTTCCCTCAGTCTTCCCTGATGTGGTAACCCAAGAGTGTCAGGAGTCTCAAACATTTGTAACAAACACATGAGTATATCCAAATTACTGAGGCAACCTGTTCTATGAACTTGTGCTTGACATCAGAAGTAGGCATGAAACTTTTGCTCAACTTCTGTCCTTCCAAAATCATGAGGAATCAGTTTTCTCTCAAATATATGAGTATCTACAGAAGCCCCAGTCTTAAAGTTACTTTAATACTGAATTTAAACTTGCAGGGAGAAAATTAAGAGATACAGAAAGTGACAAAATGTACAAATGTCTGACTGTGGGGGAACTGTGCTAGAAGCACACTCATTTATGGCATAGATTTGTAGCTAAAACATAGAAGTCAAAAACTGCAAATGTAAAGGTAGCATCTTTCCAGAAAATATATCTAGCCACTTCTTACATTATCTTACCCACCTTCAATCCTATATTTTCTTATTTTGTAAGATATTCTTATAATAATTTCAGTACAGTGACGGGCTATCTCTCTGATGAAGAGTTTTAAGTTGAAAGCTCAGCTTTGCAAGGCACTACTCAGATTATATCTGATTATTTCTCCATACACAGAATAAGCATAAAAATAGCAATGAATATGATTGGGAGGAAGCTATCAATGTCAGTTTTCCTCTTGTATCTGTGATTGTATAAACAGAATATTATGCGGACATACCTTAACTTGTGTTACTTCAGATGTCATTTTCAGCTGGCACTGAGAGAAAAAATGCTGTAAAGTAGTACATTGGGAGAATACAAGACTCTGTTAATACTGACCAACTTTGTCTTCAAAATCACAGGGACAAAGTAATGGTTCAGGTGGAGATAAAATGCGAAGATAATCTTTAGTCTGTTACTAACATTATCTTATGCTAACATTTTATGGCATCCCAAATATAAAAAATTCTTTAAATTCATTAATCAGCATTTCATGGTATCCTAACAGAACACATCTTAAACATTCCAATCACTTCGTGAAGGTTAATTTAAAACTACTTAGTGTCTATGAAGCTTGATCTCTGCTTTGTGAATGAGTTCAGTTTTTTCCAGTCCTTTCTTCTTGCTTGACTAAGGGTGAGCACTGAACTATAGGTCTGATCTGCAGTTCCTTCCTCCAAATCAGAATCATATGCCTAAAGAAAAGAAAGCGAAGGAAGAAAGCAGAATGGAGAAACATATAATGTATTTGTATGGTTTTTTACATCCCCAGGTGGTGTCAATATAAGAAAAAGCCACAAAATAGACCATAAGTTACAAACATGTCCTTGCTATCATTACTCTTATTTTTCATGAAGCCTGCGCTTTATCTGTTTCTGTATGTAAAGAGTTGCTGATCAACAACATGTGCAAGCTTCACATAAATAAAAGGGTTATAAAAAAATGTGATACAACTTCTCTGTGTGTGGTGGAGAATAACACAATGCAAATCCTTTTTAGCATCCCACATGGTTTCTGAATGGTGAAACAATTCGTACGGAAAAAAATTCTCTTGATTGTTTGCAGCCCATTTGTCAGGGATTGTATGATTTGGAACATCTCCTTATTGCAATTTATTTTTGCAGTTGTTTACTTCTCCAGAACTAAAGTAACTGACTACCTGGCAGTTTATCAACAGGAAAAGAAAATTTAAAAGAAATAAATTCATTGTAAATTATATTTCAAGTTTGTTTTTTTTAAAGTTTACTATCCTTCTGTTCTTCAGAATATTCTTTTGAAAGAGTGCCTTTTGACTAATTTAACATGGGGAACAGGTTGGTGAATCCCAAATTAGTACTCAGTCTGTAGGATAAAAATGCAAACATATAAAATACTGTACGAGTCCTGTCAAAATAGCTGTGTAATTTAGATTTTTTTAAATATTAGGAAATTTCTTGTCCAAGAGAGATTTGTGTCACACTGAATTCCAATTGTTATAACATTTAATAATAAATATAAAAGTAATAGTAATATTTAATAATGTAATATAGCAACATAATAAATTTTATTTTATAATATAATAATGACATAACCTGCAATTTCTTTTTATTTATTTTTTCTTACAACATTATTTTAAAACACACCATTGTTTGTTTTTGCATGTCAGAATCAGTAGAGAAGGTTCAAGTGGTTTAAACTACCTGTGGATCAGGCTATTACAGAGGAGAGGTGCTTTTAAGTTGTAAAAGAGTTCGAGAAGCTTGGCATTACTGATATGGCTTTTTTTCAAATGCAATAATATGTGGGTATGAA